AATTTCCATCTGGTAACGGCTGCACAAGGCCGTGAAGTTTGGTAATTTTGAGGTAAATTGAATGCAGCGCGACGTTTCTTATTTTTTCTTGCTCTTATTATCAACATATCGGCGGACGAAAACTCGGTTTAAGATAGAGAAAAGACCAAGCTTTCCAACCGTGTGCTTAGTTTTTCGCTATCTTTCTAGATAATAAAGATATGGGCCCTAGAAGTAGGTGGAAATATAAAGGAAAAAGTTTGTTGCTGAGCGGTTTGTTGCTATCGTCTCGCCGGTTTTCGATTCACTGTTAAGGCGGACTTTGTTTTCAAAATATGAAAATATTCTTAAAATTCTCTTCACACCAAGCAGGGCTTAATTCCTTAGCCTTAAAATAAAATTCAAAAATTTTTAAGTCATTATTTTATACCTCTTGTAACATCTATCCTGGGACACACCGTATGTCCATAATTGAGTAAGATAAAAGATTTTAGAAGTAGTTAACAACGCTACCTTCAGAAGTAAAATAATTCAAGTGTAATATCTAGACAAACGAGACTTTGTATTTTAAAGGTGATGTACACAATAACTAGTTGTCTATACGTCTATAGCGATTCCAATTAAGTAGAGTTTTCGAGTATCCGCTATATTGCGTGCTTGTCTGAAAAGAATCATCTTCACCTTTAACAGCTTTTCATACCAATTTTCAATTATATCAAGTGAAAAGTACATCTTGTTGAAAAATACGTTAGGGTGTTGTCTTTGACATTAATTATCAGATGTTTAAAGATCTTTAAAAATTGCGCGCACCGCAATTAAGTAATATTATATTTAATGCACTCCATCGTAACACGGAAGATAATTACGCTTGTACAGCTGTGGCTAGGATAAAACAGCATTTAAACAAAATTGCAGCTATTTTTGTTAAAACCTTTTGTTCAGCGTCTTTATTGGAGTTTTTAGCTCTGGAAGACCGCCATCACTTGAAATTCCAGACTCAGCACAGTTAAGGGCTGCTTACCTTTCATACAATGTTAATGTAATAAATCGATAATGTTTTCTGTATAAATCCCATCCTAGAGCCAGGCGGTTTACATACACAGTTTACATGATTGTGCTATGTTGGGTCGAGTTTTTATGATGTTCATGTTTTACTAGTGTAGTGGAATTTGGAGACCTCATTCTCTTATATGTATATGATTTATCCAAGCTATAAGATGTTGGGTTAGGTTAAGTATATGTTAATGGTTTATAATCACCCTGCAGGTTATGGGAACATGTGTGGCTTTCTAGAGGTTTTTATCTTATTGGTAATTTTTTGATATTTATTTTGATAAAGAGTATTAATTACGATATAACAATCTTTCTTTATTTTTTAGTATTTGTCTTTCCGGAGTAAAGACAACTCTTTAGATCTCGGTTTAATTAGCATAGAAAGTACAAAGGAAACCTACATTTTGCTCTTAAATAAAAACCCAGTTAGTGTTGTTATTAAACATTTAAGCACTTCTTTGCCGTCGAGCACTATTAATGTTGTTGGTTGTGATAGAGGTGATCCGATGGATGCACTTTTAAAAGAAAATTTTAGGAATTCTTCTAAATGCGTAAGTTGTATTAAAAATGAGTTCAATTTTAATTGTTGGCAAAACTGTTTGGATTAAATATTAATGAAGCAAATTTCTACAAATCCTTCAAAATTAATATATTTGCTATTATGATAATTTTAGGTTCGATTACGATCAAATGAATACACAATTTTACGGTTAACAGTTCATACATCAACAATTGAAGGTCAAATATGGGGCGACGTCTCCGTTCAAACGCAATATGAAAAAATGTCGGTCCCAGTACACTTTAAAGTAGCCCAGGGAAAACTGGATATTGAGCCCGATGTGCTCATTTTCGATCAATGCTTTCCTGTAAGTACATTTTAAATATTTTTTAATTTTAATTCAGTTACCAATTGGTGCTTAAAATCGTAATTCCGATTATTTTTAATTTAAGGAAAAACCTCCCTTTTTGCAGTTTGCTATACGATTTTTTTTCTTTTCATTAAAGGGTAAGATTTGTACTCGACCGTTGAGAGTGCATTCAACTTTCAATGATCCTATGGTGATTGAGGATATTTTAACGATACCACCAGATCCGAGGATTACAAGCAAACATAGTGGTCATATTATGGGAAAGGCAACGAAGGTTATTGGACATTTATTTTTGGATCCAAATATTGAGTGTCATCCTGATTGTTATTTAGGAATACAAAAAGAAAATACAGGTGAGTATTTATACAACTTAAATAAGTGACTTTGTAGGTGAGGGCAAGCATTGTAATGTAACTACTTGTAAGTTAATGCAAGTAGTTGTTATAAGTAGTAGTTACATACAGTTAGTGGTAATCTTAACCTATTGTTAAGATAACTCCAATGTATTCAATTTGGGGTTACAACGATTTTATCAAGTACACATAATTAAAAAAAATAATTACCTAAAATATAATGTATCTTCTTTATGATTTATATAAAATCAAACGCCAAACAATGGATTCGAAAATCGTTGGGCCAGAAAATGTGTACAACGATTTGTGTTGTTTTTGTGCAACACAAAACTATTGCACTTAAAGTTACTAAGGTCCATTACTACCATCTTTTAGTTAAATTTATCTTATAGATAAACCCATCTATTAGCCAATTAGAGCGCATAAAATAGCCGTAACCATGGTAAGAATCCCTTAGAACAGCGTTTCTCAACCTTTTTTGACCTGCAGACCTATAGAATTTGTCCAAAAATTGCGCGGACCGGTCAACTATTTTGAACAAAAAATTTCCTTAGGTATTAATGAACTACTATTATAATATTTTTATTATCATTTATTTACAACAGTACGTCAATATAAAAATAAGTATTTATTATAATTTGTAAATAAATAAATCTTTAACAAAAACAGAAAATTAAAAAAAAAATCACGTAATCATTGCATATAAACAAAATAAAAAATCAATTCTAAGTTTAACAAAAAATTAAATATCTAATTTTTGTTTATTTGGCATTAATGTGACGATTGCTGCTGCTCCTCTTCAATTAACTTTTCAATTGTGGGCTCTAAATTAGTCAGGCTAAGTCGGAGTGGTGAAACAACCGAAAGCAGATTTCTAAACTTATTTTTTATAACAGTCATAGCTAAAAATCTCGTTTCACATAAATATGTTGTTGCGAAAGGAAGTAACATTTTCATCGCTTTTTCGTATAGAGATGGATATTCATTTCTCGTATTGACCCAAAATTTATCTAAAGACATCCTTGAAAAATTTCTTTTCAACATTATGTCTGAGCTAATCTCCAGGACGGACTCATATTCTCTGTGAGTTAAATTTAATTGACTATTGTCATATGTTATGAAAGGGTTTGTTATCCACAAATTTTTTTCATATTTGGTGTTGTCAGATGGAAAATATCGTTCGAAACTACTATTTAAAGATTGTAANGAGGGCTTTGAATTCTTTTTTATTACACTGAGATCTTTCCTTCTACCTGCTCAACCAATTTTTAGGCCTCAAAAATATCTCCCCTACTCTTTTTCTTTTTTATTTTACTTTTAACAAATTTTCTTCACTTTCTTAACAAATAATAATTACATTTTAAATTGCTTAGTCCTAAAATATGTTAATAATTATGTTATTATAAACATGAAACCTATAATATACATAACTAAATATTTAGATTTTAGGTTATGTTTATGTCAAACATTTATTTGGTGATTTATAAACATCAAGGTCATCAGCTGCTATTAATTTTTAATTCACCGTCCAATAAGATAAAAGTGTACTCACCACGTGTTCACGCATATCTCTTGAGTAGACGGGGGCACGACAGAGACAGATATATATATATCTGCACTCTAGTGTTTACACTCTTTTGCTGCCTTAGTCAGCGATATAGGAGATAGTATATATATGATAATAAATAGTTTATTACTTGATCGGTTGTGGCGTCACATTGCAATGCTTAATAATTTGAATCGTAGTTGTAAAACTAGCTGAAATTTCGCGTAACCATGATGTTTACAACATTTCAGAAGTAATAAAAATTCTAATTGTATTTCAATTTTTGTTGATAAACATTTATAAATAAATTAAATATAAACGTTAGTAACTAGGTACTCTTTACACAGGTTAAAGTGCAATGTTACCTAATTCTAAAATTAATAAATGTTAATATAAAAACCTTAGCAAAATTATTTACTTACTTATTTATGGCAGTCATTTACAGAATAAATGACAGTAAGTATCGATTGTAAGTCTGATCTTATTCAACATCATAGCTGATGTCACTCAAAGTTGTATCAAATCTTACTGAACACCTCGCCCAACATCGTCTCAGGCATTTCCTTACATTATTACCAATGTTTCTTAATAACATTCATGTTGTTCTTGCATTCTCTCAACGTCACTACTCATCATATTTCCTGACATCCTTTAACATTATTAACCAGTTATGCCTTGCCATTGCTATAACAATGCCTTAAATTGTTGATCTTTCACAACTTTGTCTCTGGTTATATGTTATCTTATCATCATCTGAGCTGTTACACAATACCATTAACTGGTATCATTTACCGTCATCTCAGATCTCACTCAGAATAGTCTTCAACATTTCCCAACATCGTTCCAGGTGTTTCTTTATATTGTTATCAATGTCTTTGCATTGTCTCAACATCAATCCTCATCATGCTCCCTGCCATCTTTCAACATTATTAATAGCCTCCACAACACTATCTTGAATATCGAGAATAATAATCTTTAAATATTGGTCAAATATGCTTCCTGACATATTTTAACATTATTAACCAGTTGTGCCGGCCATTGCTACAAGAATTCTTCAAATTGTTAATCAGTATTAATCACGCACTACTTTGTCTCTGAATATATGTTCTCAACCTACGCCAGGTCTACCTTTGCTGATGTCTTTTAACATCGTCCCTAACTGTATTAGGGCTGCTATTATACAGGGTGTATCTGAATGATGTGAAATTTTTTTGACGTTTAAATGTCAGTATTTTTCTTACTATTATTACTATTATTCAAATTAATTTTTGAATGAAGTTCTATCGCATTTACTCTCGTTCACTCGACGTTTCAAAATTTTAAATAAAACAATAATAATAGTAAGAAAACCACTGACATTTAAACGTCAAAAATATTTCTGACAAAGATTGCAAAGCCTACTAAGATTTTTTTATTAAAAATCCGTTCCAACTTTCGATTAACAACCCTACAGCTTAACAGTTAGTGTTTGCTTAATTATTTTTTTTTCAGAAACTATTAAATTTTAGAAGAACATCAGAGTGACAAACAAGTTTTAGAATAGTTTTATCTATCTAACTGAAATTTTTCCAATGTATTTATCATCTTCATAATAAAAATCTAGGCGTAAATTGAACGGGGGTGGTTATGTTTTGTAGTTTAGAAGGGTAGGTTGAAAGTACAAATAGGGCCAAAACGTGCCCTATTATGAGTTAAACATATTCCCCTAATTTCATTTTCCTAGCGTTTATGGTTTTTGAGAAAATCAAATTAAACCAAAATTTTCCGCCATTTTTAGAGGGGTGTAGCTCCTTAGGGGAGCCGAAGTCGCCCATGTTCATATATCAAAGTACCCTTAAAATTGCCTAAAGAATCACCCCCCTGAGGTTTGGGCACGTCATTCAGATACACCCTGTATATCATTCTTATTTAATCTCAATATCGTCTCAACCATCTCTCGTCTCAGCCTTATTGACTTTTTACTACATATGACGCGCCCGGTGTAGTATATTTTTGTACCGCAAAGAATTCAAAAATATTCTTGTATATTCAATGAATATTTTTTAAAATATGAAATAGAAGTTCCATGTTAATTTTTACGTATCCTCAATAAAAATAGATTGTAGGATTGATATCCTATGAACGACGCGGCCATTTAATACTTCGTCAACCAATGTATTTTCCAAGAAATACCTTATTTAGACCACATAACATTTCATACTTATTAGCACTTTATAAACTTATTTTCTTCTATGTATAAAGAAATCCCCAATTAACTTGAGACCTACTATATCCAATGATACATTTAACTTTAATGAAATTGCCATTAGTTGTAATTTTTTCCATTACTTATTATTATAATCTACAATCGAAGTTTTTAATTCTTGTATTGTCTGAATTTTGTGTAGTTTAAATTTATTTTTATATAAAACATGCAGAATTAAAGAATGGATGCATTAAGTGCTTGTACAATTCTGCGTGATGATGCATATGGATCTTCTTAAAGGTCCATACTGTATCTAAAATTTTGTTATGATTCATTACAGTATTTGGTAAATCTCTTCGTTATTCATCTATTACGCTGCTAGTTTTCACAAAATATTTTACAGTTTTCTTCACAGTCGTCTTCTTGATAAAAGAATGATTTGTGTATGTATCGTTGAACAAGTTTGCCACTTCTCTATAAAACCTTGTTCTATCACCACAATAACGAGTGTTGCAGAAATCTTCGAAACACTTTCTTCTTCCTCTCACCCTCTCTTTCTCTCTCTCTTCCTAGACCGTTATGTATCTGGTTCCTGATAAGATCTACCTCTGAGATATCTCCTAAGAAGTTGACTGCCAACTGTCTCTCCATCTCTTTGGTGGTCTGGTTCCGGTCGAGTTATATCTAAGCACAATTTTCGGCAGACCGTTATCTGGTATTTTTGGTCATTGTACCAAAATCTCTTGTGTTCTCTTCATCTCAACGTCCTGAACCCCACGTTGAACTCTGATGTCATAGTCCTCAAGGTCTTCATTTCTACTATGCTTAACATGCTTTTCATTGCACTTTACTATCCGTGCGGATGAATTTGTAAAATACCTACCTACTTATACTTTATTGGTTCCCTTGCTACCACTATGCATTTAGTGTTTGTGACAGATAGGTTATGCTATGTGCAGAATTGCTTGAGGCTGATTGCTTTTTTTATGGCTATTTTCCTAAGGTGTTTTGAAAACAAAAACTTGCGGATGGTAAATCGAAATAATCAGGAACACGAAAAAATGGGACAGCCCTGATAGTGTGGCTGACGATTTTGTCATTTTATTGTAGAGGTTCATGAACATAAGCTTTGTTCGTTGGGACTGCACTACTTGCACTAAGCAGTTTAGTGCAGATGTTGTGTGTTCGTTGGGGACAGTGCAGTTTAGTGCAGTTGCACTCATACTGTTCGTTGGGCCATGTGCAGTGCAATTTAGTGCAGCCAGTGCAAATTAGTGCAGATTTTGTTGCTCCTGCTTTCGATTAAGTTCAATAAGTGCAGTTTAATGCAGTGTAACTAAAATGGCGGAATATTGGAAAGCGTGTTTTGTAATAATTAATATTAATATTAAATATTAAGAAATAAAACCTTATAATAATTAATATTTGTTGTATTAGAGAACACAGTATATTCAATCCCAGTAGAGGCAGTAGAAAACTACCCCTACTTTTTTGGAATAATTTAAAAACTACCCTGTCGATTTTGGCGGCATTAAATACACTTATAGTACATTTAAAAATATTATGTGTTTTTTCTCATTTAGGGGTGGCTGGGGTTAACTACCCTCACCACCCCAAATTTTTTTTTGCAAGTACTGCTTATCAATTTTGGTGCAATTTAGCATGTGATTTCTTTATACGTTAAGTAGTACTTTTGAAAGAACTAATAAGGGTTAGTAGTTTGGTATAGAAAATATATTTCGCTAATAATTGAAAAAAATAAAAAATAATAATAATAATTGATGAATACTAAAAAAACGCTACTAAAAAAACATTCTGCGATAATTTCATTTTCCACGAGTATTTCGCTGACAATCTCCTGTTCGTCCATTTCAAATATTATACACTTTTTTTATAACAATCTGTTCGTTGCGACCACGGTTTATACACTTTTCTGACCTGCACTAATTGTAAGTTGACACTTCATTGCACTATGACGTCATACGAGTGCCACGTCGTGCAGAGTAGTGAAGTCCCAACGAACAAAGCTATTAGGTGTATACCAAATTTGAAATAATAATTATTCAAAAAAATATCGGAGAAAAACATAAAATTGAAAAATAAATTGAGACTTTACCACCCTGTAGTGACACATTTTTGTCCACATGTATATTAACATTTTTCTCCTATTTTCTCGAGTACTACCGCAATCTGAAATATCTGCACGTCGTTCATTAACACCCTGTATAATATTAATAATAACATATGACTTAAAAATATTTTATCGATTATACCTGAACTTTGTTATACAACTGTTTAACTTTATTTGACGTTCCTTATGATGAAAACTAGATAAGTCGTAACAAGTAAACAATAACTCAAAAAGTAATACGTGTCATTTACTATCTTAATTCAATATTAAATACATAATAATGCATAATGATTTCTTTCTTTTTTAGATGAATGGCTTCGAACATTCTCCTTACCAAAATCATCCGCCGAATTCGATATAAATCTAGTCAACACGTTCTACAATCGCTACCTGAATTTCTCCTCCAACAAACACCACCGTTGGCAAAATATTACCATGCGATTGGACACTTCTGAAGTAAAAGGTCACGTGTTTCACTCTCGCGTTCACATGACTTGGCCGAGTTTAATTTCAAATTCGGAGACTCCAACGCGATCAATATGCCAATTTCCTTTAACACAAGTTGGAAATATTTCTTATCAAAATCTAACTATAACAAATCCTTCGACTTTGAATTTAATAATTCAATTAGTTATGGATAATGTTTATCCGAACGCGGAAAGTTTAAAAGATGCGTTATCTTTTGATTTTTTCTTGGGTGCTTCTTCGACGATTAAACGAAATAAAGCGTTCTTTTTCGCGGAAAATTATTCGGAAATGCGGGAAAGTTTTATAAAAACGAGTAATACCATTGTTAATAGGCATACTGTGCCGATTTTACTTAAACCGGGAGAAAATTTTACTGTTAAAGTTGGTTATGTGGCAACGGATGCTATTTCAGATTCTTCTTTTTTATTTATAAGAAATAACTTGACCGTTATCGAAGTGGTTCATTTAAAAGCTCAAGGCGCTTATCCAAGTTTTAAGTTTGGAAATCGAAAGCCAGGCGCTTTACAACCGTTACTATTCGAATTAAATGAAAAGCATTTAAAAGATTGCGAAAAAGATATAAAAAGCAAACGGTTTATTTCGACGAATTTATCGATTAAACGAACATTTACGGCGCGAAATACCGGCGATATTGTCGTTTTTATAAACAATTTTTTAATAAACGGTTTAAGTTGTGAAGGGTATGGTTTTAAAGTACTTAATTGCGAACCATTCGCCTTAAAACCAAATTCAACAAAAAAAATCGACATTGAGTTCACGCCGGATTTTACACTTTTAAAAATAACTCGTCAACTTACTTTAGAAACAAGCTTAAATCAGAACGTTAATTACACTTTAGTAGCCACGGTTCCGCAAATCTATTTAAATTTGTGCCCGAAAATCGTGCCGAGACCTTCTTGGGAAGTTTACATTTACAATTCTTCGATTTTGTCAATGATCGCGATGTTAATTTGCGTTTGCGTAGCGGCATTAATTGAATCAGAAAGGATTTTAAAATCGGCATTAAACGTCATTTCGAGGCATAATCCGAATCAAGGAACGTTAGATTTAAGATTAATTGGGGCTCAAACTAAAGCGGAAATAAGAAATCCTAAATTGGAGTTAGACGATCAAAAAGATGCTAAAAGAGATAAAGTAGTGAGTGAAAAAAATAAAGATGAATCGAAAATGGCTGTTGAAGAAAAGTACACGGTTTTAATACCAACAACGGGAAAATCAAAGAAAAAATTGGCTAAAACGAAAAGTAACGATATTTTAAATGATATAACTGATAATAAAAATAAAGAGAGTGTGACGAAAGATAAAATTGTTGAAAAAATAGCTAAGAAAAATGAGATAAAAATGACACGAGAATTGAGAAAACTAAAAGAGAAAAAAGTTAATAATAATTATAATAAAGAAAAGAAATTTTTGGAGCCAACAGTTCAAACCTGCGAAGAAGAAACATCTTCAACAACGACCGAATCCAGTTGTAATAATGAGGAAATTGAGAAACCACCACCAAATAAGATTTTATTGGTTCGAAAACATTCAAAAAATGGAACTAAACACGACGAAGAACTTCACCAGAAAATATTCGATAAAAAGAAATTAATACAAAAACAATCCACCAATAAAAAGGAATTTAAAGAAAATATAATAGAAAAAAGCGAATCTTTAAAAATCACTCAAAAAGAAAAAAATAAACTCCAAAAAGAACGGAAAGAAAAGATATTTAAAAAACCCAGCGAAAAAATGAACAATTTTAAACTGGATAATAGTACAAATATTATAAATAATTCCCGGGTAAGTCCTTCAGTTAACGGAAATCATACTAACAATGTTTGGGGAGAAAATAAAGCATCTTTTAGTGACGTCGTTTCGCGAAATGAAACGCAAACATTTTCCACATTAAATTCACCTACTCTTGTCCAATCGAGCCCCACCAATCCAAAACTGCAACCAAGTAAACCTACAGTTTACGTCGAACCTTACAATAAAACCAACCAAAATGTTGAGTTGGGACCGATTGGTTCAAGAAAAGATTATTTTAATGGGTCACCAACATCAAATTTATTATTGCAAGAAAGCCAAATACATCATCAAATTAACAACCAAATAAATCAAATTAATCAACTCCAACCAAACAATAGTTTTTTTTCTGATATGGATGTCAATTATTATTCTTCGTTGGATTTACAATATGGAACGGGTATTCAAGATCCATGGTTGAGGCCTGGAGATAATGGAGTCAACGGAAACGGGGTGGGATCAGCGTATTGGGATTCGATTTTAAATGGAGGAAACGTTGGTAGAGTTGAAGGCGGCGAGATGATGGGAATGGGTGTGGATTCGGTGGCGGTGGCATCATCCTCGTCGTCAACGTCATCGTCGGCGGCGATGTTACAGGAATCGTGTTGGTCGTGGGGGTCACCCGTTTGGCAACCGTTGGGGACGGATTTGTGTCGAGGACCAACGAGGACGCCTCCCGGGTTTGCACCACAACGAGATGATGAGGTTAGTATATTTTGAATGTTTCTTAACTTTCCAGTACACGAGCTTACACAGTCACACGCGGCGGTCTGCAATTGCCAATAGAAACGATCGTTCTGGAAAAAGATGGCGTTAGTTAGAAGAACGTAACCTATTTGCATCATGAGCTCCAAGTAAGCAGAGCTCCAGTTCTAGGTTTAGTGTTAGTTCTACTTTTAATTCAATAAAAATTGACACTACCAATCCAGCGCTAAATAACAATTAAAACTAGAACTAACACTAGACCTAAGAGACGGCTGTGTATTGAAAAGTTAATTAGAGCTTATATACGTACTAACTATGGGATTAGAACATACTTTTTTACTTAATTCCGTATAATCACCATATAACCTGGAAATTTATTTTGATATAAGCGATGCAAATAATTTAACGGTTAAATACAATCAAATAGAAAAGGAAAAAAAAGTAACAAATGAAAGTGATTTTTTACAAACTTTCGATTATTTTCGTTACTTTGCAATTCGTTACATGACAATTATTTCTGCACAATATAATGTAAATTAACTAATTTCTTTTGCATATTGAATTTGGAAAGTTTCATCATAAATTTAATTTTGTTATCTCTTTTTGTGATGACAATTAAAGAACAGAAGACACTGCGTCAATGCGGAAAGTATCTTTACTCAAGATCGAGAAATTTGAAAGATTATTAAAAGATTAACAACGGTGATGTGATTTATCTTCTTGTTCGTTCTGTTTCAAATGAATGATGCAGTGAACAGTGATCGCAGCAGTAAAGCGCCCTCACGTTCGACTTTAGACTAAGCGATTAAAAACTTATAAGTGTATTTCAACAGCAATCACGAACACTGATCTACGCTTCGTACGAACAAGCTCTGATTTTCTGGTACTAACACACTACAAGAGCTTTCCCTTAGAAGAGAGCTGTGAAGTATACATCGAAGCAAAGTGAACGCTGCAATAAAAAAAGATCAATAGGAGTATTGGGCCAAATTCACTTCATCATTGTCATCATAGTCAAGCAGTTGTATGTTTGTCCACTGCTCAACATAAGACATAAGCCTCCCGTAAAGATTTCCACTTTCCTTTATCCTGCATTGCATTTATCCAGTTTGTACAAATGTACTCGAAGTCATCCAACCAACAAGTGGGCGGTCTCTATTCGGTTCTTATCGGTGTCCATCTGGCTAGGTGGCCTCCCCACTTCCATTCGAGACTTGTTATTTTTGTGATGGCATCCGAGACTTCACTTGTTTTCCTCACTTCTGTGTTTGGAATTCTGTCTCTAAAGCGGCCCATACACGCCTCTTGGCGTCTCTGCATGCGACGCTGCAAGAGTCGAGCCGCATGAAGCATCGTGTGTAGGGAAGCGCCAGGACTCATGCGACGGCATCGGCAGCGGCGACGGCGACGGATTCAAGACCGCGGCAGGCTCCGGCGCCTTGCAAGAGTCAACGTGTATGGGATTGCGACGTGCATACGACACCGAAAGTATCGCTTTAGTTTATTTCCAACGTCCATCGAAATGGCATCGTTCGCCGATAAAGATTTTTGGAAAAAATTTGTAAACCTGGCAGTATTTGGCTTTCTGCCAGCAATATTTAATTTTCTACAAGCAGTATTAGTATTCTGGAACCAATTTGTAGTCTATTGATAGCAATACCTAGCCTTGTATAAACAATATCTATCTTTTTAAGCAGTTTCTAGTATTGCATAGGTAGTATTTGTCTTCCGCAAGGAATTGTTGATCGTCTATACTGTCTATAGGAAGTATTTAGTCTTCTGCAAGCAGTATTAGTATTCTGGAACCAATTCCTTGGCTATTGGTAGCAGTACCTAGCCTTCCATAAACAATATCTATCTTCTGCAAACAGTTTCTAGTATTGTATAGGTAGTATTTGTCTTCCGCACGGAGTTTTTAGCCTTTTGCTGGCAGTATTTAGTCTTCTACAAGTAGTATTGGTATTCTGCAACCAATTTGTAGTCTATTGGTACTTAGGTTTGTATAGACGATATCTGTCTTTTTGAGCAGTTTCTAGTATTGTATAGGTAGTATTTGTCCTCTATAGGAAGTATTTAGTCTTCTGCAAGTAGTATTGGTATTCTGCAACCAATTTCTTGGCTATTGTCTGGCCAAATATGCATTGAAATTCATCATTTTGATGGTAAGAGGGCGTTGTTGCCTTCTGTTACTAGTAATATTTATTTGTTTTAAGATGAATTGATGTTTGTATAAAAAGGTTTTCCTTCTTCTTTTCGATCTCTGTATTCGTGAAACCTTTATGGCACACACTACGGTGAAACAGCGTAATATCGAAAGCTGCAGTATTTTAACATGTGACATCACACTGCCGTGCACCTCACTCGATTTTAAAGTTGATGGTATCTTCATGGAGTTTGATGATAGCATTTGCATACAGCCTCAAAATCGTGGTACGACTCTTTACGTCGGTCAACATTACCTGAAAAGGCACAAAGAAATCTTTTGGATTTTTGGAAAAGTTTTTAAGTAGTAACAATTACAACAAAGAACGAACAAAGTTATTCCCGGTTATTCCCGGAATTTTGTGACATCGTCTGTAGAAATGAAAACGCTGAGAACTATAGCCGACGAAACTCTTCGAGATCGTGTAAGAAACGATGATAAGCTTAAGATAAGCTTGCGTAATTCAAAATGGGGGAAAGCGCGTGAAAAAAGAAACCCAACAAAAAATTTGATTTTTTTTATTTCTAATAACACTAATCGTAAAAGTCTACGAATCTATTAAAAGAATTTTTAAAATCACCTTTTTAACAACAGACCAAATAACACTTTACTTTAAAGCTTTATTTACTCCTTTACAATTAATTGAAAACAATGTTAATTCGAATACATTTTTCAATGAGATTTCTTTTTCAGCGTACATCTCAAACCCAACAAAACAACTCACAAATACGCCAGCAACAAGTACCCGAAAACATTTATGGTCCTTTCAGCGTGAACATCTGGTCCCATCAGCAACAGGCGAACCCCTGGACTTTTCCTCACAGTCAGTAACTTTCCTTTAGGTTTTTTTCCTTTTTTAATTTTGTTTTAATTTCCTTTTTATTTTTCTTTTCTTTAAATTTTATTACTTTCACCTAACCTTTATAATAATACATACAGTAATCCTTTGTAACTCCCAAAATATACAGTAAAGTACAAGGAAAAATCCTAAAAAATGTGTTCGTTCCTGTATCTTAATCCTCGCATCGGTTAATTATTAATGTTATTGTTTTTTAGTGCCTTTTTTTTGCTTAGAGTCATATTTCCAAAGAGTCAAAAATGATGTAACTTTTGTTTGATTATAATTATTAATTTGACGTTTCTTTTTTATTTAATTATTATTTGATTTGTATTTTTTGATCATTATTTAATTTTGTTTTATCTTTGTCTTTATATCTTAAAAGAGCATTAATTTTAATTTCATTACCATATTGATTCTTTGTATCCAAAGCGCGTTAAATATTTATTTATACAAGAAGCCATCATAAACGAGTTTTTTTTTTAATATTTTTTTATTTATTTTCATTTCTATTTACATTTCCCACATCTCCTTTTCACCTGAATTGTTGAATTGTTTATCTGATTGTTAAATAACCTAAAAGAAAAATGTGTTTTGGAAATGCATAAGTGTACTTTTTCCCTTCTCAAAACGAACAGTTTAAATAAATGTCACTTTTCCAAACAAATTATAAAGGATTTTATTTAGCTCTTTAACATTTAAAATAAACATTAAATATTTAAAAACAAATAAAAAGGTACATACAAACAACAACTTTTAATCATTAATAAATTCATTGAATAAATTCTTTGACATCACCAACTGGATAAGGTCTACTAATAATTTTAATATTTCTGATTTTATTATCAAATCTTCTGTTCTTGTCTCTTTGATTTTTCATTTTGAAGCAGGTGTTAAAGAATAAGAAAATCAACTCAACTATACTAATAATTGAGCCGCCCATACATAAACCAAATATTCCACCAATTGTTGCTTTAACAATATACATCAAAATATTGATTATTTTAAGTAAAATTTTTCTTACCCAATAACGTGTCCCAGGTGACATGAACAGTTCTGATCATATAAGTGCCAGTTATTGCTGTAAAATGTACATTTACGGTGCAAGTATTTGTTAGGTGGGCCCTTAAAACATAAAAATCTTTAAAATAGAATAATATTACTAAAACATAATAATGAGAGGATTATTTACACTTCTTTTGTATTTTTATAAATGTCGTAACTGGTGTCTTCACATCCCGGTAAACAATAACAAAGCTTAGAATAAGTAATTTGGTGGTGGTCTAAAAATTCGGAATCTAAAAACGGTTTGGTTAATTCATCTTAATCAAGAAATGGATAATAAAAAATGAGATACCTACCTTCTTTTGGATCGTTAGTCATCATTATTTGAGCGAACAAACTTTCATTGTTTAAAATACAAGTAGTGTCACGCACCGTACAAACTTTTCTGATACCTAAAATTAAGTACTCACAAAGATAATCGCATTATTAACATTAATCGTTCAATTTTAATTTACCTGAGAAGGAATAATAAAATGGAACGCAACCGCATATTTCATAAATAAATGTAGCTTTGCATTCGTTGAAACAAGTCAAACTGTTATAAGTTTTTGACCATCTACCAGATCCCTAAAATTAAAAAATATTTATATTATGAATTAAACGATAAATTGAACTAGAGGTGTTGTTATATGAAAGGTTTTTAAAAAAAAAGACCACTTTTCCTCCGTAATTGTTCTGTAATCAATCTGAGACGTTTCGGGAACACCTCCCATCTTCAGTCTACAAATAGTCACTCGTAATATTATCTAACAAAAGACCATAAAAATCTCAAACCACACAAAAAAATACAAAAATTAATCGGTGTCGAATGTTAAAAAAGTTTACCTCTAATCTTGATATGATGATTTAAAAAAAACAATATTTTAAAATTACTTTGCATACATGTATGTGCGTCACATTGTACAACTGTTTTGAAATACCATTGTACGAAGTTTCAAGATAAATTTTACTACCCAAAAACTGGAATTCGTTCTTCCTTTCTACCACTCCCAAACGTCTTCTATCTATCTCGCTTTATATATTTAATCTATCTAAGATATTCGCGTAATGCGTTCCAATTTTCCCAACATCAGTTTTGAAATTGACTGCGTGATTGATATTTTTTGTTATATAAATTGATTCTAAATTTTTCCTTATTAAGGTATTATTATTTGTATTGAGAATCCTGAAAGAATTGCAACATTTACACGGTTTTATTGTAAGTGTCGAATGTAAAATATTTGTAAAACCTCTAATCAAACTGATTGATGCTAAAACAAAACTAACCTTCCTAAAAAATTCCAAAAGTTTAAAATTGGTTCCAAGACACATTGCGCAGCATATACATAAAATAGATAGCATTTACTATGATGAATAGATCACATATTTATAAAGAATTTGGAAACAAAATGTTAAAATTAGAAATAAAACAAACATATTGGTTGATGAATAAATTGCACAGATATATTATTGAATTGTTACCAAAAAATTTAGAAGTTAATATTCGTACTAGAATAGATGAATTTTTTAAAGGAATTATTAACAAGTTCAGTAAAAGAAAAATACCCCATATTACACATAAGCATTTTAATGTAGTTAAAAGTAGAAAAGATAGAATTAGATTACCTAACTTTCTAAAAGTTAATAAAAATAACAACTTAAAATCCAAAAATATTTTCGACTATGACTCAGATGTATTACAGAAATATTTCATATTATATAAAACGAACAGAGTAATAAATTTAACCAAAAAACAGATTCCAAACAATATTATTAATCTATTATCATTGGGTGATAATTTCAGTTTTCTTACATTTGGTTTCAAGAAATCGTTCCATAAAGATATAATTCATCTCATTGCAGACGTTGAAAAGATTTTTACCACCATCAATACAGTGGAAAATCACATAAATGTTACAAGAAATAAAATTGTCAACGAAATTACCAATTTCTTATATAAGCAAAAGAATTTACATTGCCAATCAAATTTGCAGGGACATTATAATTAAAAAAAAATTCCTATTAAATAATAAAGACTTGATAGTTATTAAAGCAGATAAGACTAAACAATTGGTTATCCTGAATAAACCGTCGTATAACGAAAGAATTGCTAATTTGCTGAATGATAATAAAACGTATAGAACGAATAGGTCAGATCCAGGACCTCCGTTGGTTGATAAAATTAACGATTACCTAAGAAGACTTGAAAAAATGAATTACATAGATAAACCCCTGAAATTAAAATTGGCACCAACACATTTCATAACACCAAGAATTCATGGATTAATTAAAATTCATAAACAAGACAAGCCATTGAGACCAATTGTTAATAATATTAATGGACCCACATACGCATTATCAAAATTTCTCAATAGTTCTTTGAATAACCTAAACTCAATGAATGATTACGACATCAAAAATTCATTAGAGTTAAAAGAAAAGTTAAAATCATTACATCTGGATAATCACATTAAATATGATATTGTAAGCTTTGATGTACAGTCCTTATTCACAAACATACCTTTACAAAAAATGATAGAATTAGTAGAAACAAACTGGGAACATATAGAAGATCACACTGTAATTAAAAATAAAAAATTGTTTATTGAAGGAATTAAACTTTGCACGTTTAATAGCTATTTCAAACAGGATAATAACTATTACAGACAAATTTACGGTCTTCCAATGGGGTCCAGTTTGAGCGTGAATTTGAGTGGTATAGTGTTGAACGATTTAATAACAACACAATTAAAAACAACCAAAATAAAACCGATACTAATTGCTAAGTACATAGACGATCTGTTACTAATCTTACCCAAGAATGAATATCCAAAACTATTGGACACATTCAACAGTTACAATGATCGATTGAAATTTACAGTAGAAACGCCCGATAATGATAAATTACCCTTTTTGGATATAGTTCTGGTTATGAATCGAAACAACAACTCAATTGCAACGAAATGGTATAAAAAAGAAATTGCTAGCAATAGACTGTTAAATTTTCATAGCAATCACCCTAAGTCCCAAATCATTAATACCATGAACAATTACATAAAAAGAGCTATCTCAGTTACAGACAATGCCTTCTTAAAAGAAATAAGAAAACAATTATATAACATTTTATTAGAAAATTTCTACCCTAAAAGATTAGTCAATGATGCTTGGTATAGAATTAAAAATTCTATTGATAATGATAATCAAGATAACAATACAACTTCTCACATATCGAGACCTACAGAACAATATAAAAAAGAATATTTTTTAAGAAGTAAAACAAAAGATAAAACAGAAGGCCAATCATTAATTACACAATATTTCGATAAACATAATCAGAAGAATGATAGTGAACAAGATAATAGAAATATAAATGACGAAACTAATAAAATAACAAATTTGAATAAGTTTTGTAAGATTAAATACATACCGTCATTAACGAATAAAATAACTTCAGTATTCAGAGATCATGATTTTAAAGAAATTAAATTTGCAAAATACAATGATAATAAAATAAACACATTGATTTCAAATATGAAGGATAAAATTAAGATGATAGACAAAGTCGATACCGTTTACAAATTAAATTGTATGAATTGTGATAAAGTTTATATTGGAGAATCAAAACAACACCTGAAAAAACGAATTCAACAACATCAATATGACTCAAAACAGATCAAAATAAATAATAAAACAGCATTGTGTCAACATTCTGTACTATTAAACCACAAATTTGACTTTGAAAACCCCAGGATTCTCAATACAAATAATAATACCTTAATAAGGAAAAATTTTGAATCAATTTATATAACAAAAAATATCAATCACGCAGTCAATTTCAAAACTGATGTTGGGAAAATTGGAACGCATTACGCGAATATCTTAGATAGATTAAATATATAAAGCGAGATAGATAGAAGACGTTTGGAAGTGGTAGAAAGGAAGAACGAATTCCAGTTTTTGGGTAGTAAAATTAATCTTGAAACTTCGTACAATGGTATTTCAAAACAGTTGTACAATGTGACGCACATACATGTATGCAAAGTAATTTTAAAATATTGTTTTCTTTAAATCATCATATCAAGATTAGAGGTAAACTTTTTTAACATTCGACACCGATTAATTTTTGTATTTTTTTGTGTGGTTTGAGATTTTTATGGTCTTTTGTTGTGGTTTTTTTGTAGATAATATTACGAGTGACTATTTGTAGACTGAAGATGAGAGGTGCTCCCGAAACGTCTCAGATTGATTAATTTATAACAATTACGGAGGAAAAGTGGTCTTTTTTTTAAAAAACCTTTCATTTATATTATGATTATTAAAAGCATGTTTTTACTATACATATAAGGAAATATTAACACATTGATTGCCGGCTCGGTCAATATGACCGAATCGGTTTCTCGCATCTTTCGCTCCAGATTACGAGAAAACTGAAAGCAAGAGACTAAACCTTAAAAAACTAAAATTAGGATGTCCTTAAAAAGGATGTCTAGACATGCTCCTTGTTCGCTAGTGATATAATAAAAACTGGAAAGTGGAAGTGAAGATACCAATCTAGCAAGAGGAAGGAACCTTGATCGATAACAACTGTAAACACATCACAGAGCCACATATAAAATCTGCAGAGCTATGAAAAAAAATACACCTGAATGATCAACTCCACGTTTACGAATTAAGCAAATAACTAAGAACGGTACAAACAACGGACATCAATATTTAGGAAAAAAGAAGGAGACATCACCAACGACGCTATAGCCATCAAAAATGAAATATAACTTTTCATACTTAGGCAGTCATACGATTGGCAGAAATCCACGAATATTTGATCAAGAAAAACTTTGAAGAAATACTTCCAAGAACTCTTTATCTCGAAGAGGATAACCTAAAATTAACTGGAACCCGAACACCAGATATAAGGATAAGGGCATTCTTATTGCCGGTATTGCTGGTTATTTGCTGGTGGGGGCACTTGTGAAAAAAGAAGTGGGTGACGCGATAAGATGGATGGAAAACAATAAGGCGTCAGGATGAAGTGACATACTAGCCGAATTGTATAAAAACGGAGGAAATATTTTGCAGGTGCATCTATACAACTTAATAAACTATAATATATGGGTAGAAGAAACGATACCTAATGACTGGAAAAGAATATATATCCAAAACACAAAAAGGGTAACAAAATAAGTGCAAAAAACCGAAAATAAGTGCAAACAGATTATTGGGGACTATTAGAAGCACCACAGACCAACTATTTGTCGTAAAGCAAATCCTAGAAAAGACGTGGGAATATGACGTGGACGTATGTCTGGTGCAAATGAGACTCTTTTCTAGTTGACTTCTGACCTTTGTAATTGATCGATGTGAATTTTTATAACATAGCCATCATCTAGTTCCACACAATAAAGTAATTGTCCCAATTTCTGTACAATTGTCCTTGGTTTCCATAAGCAAGATGATGCGTAATTTCGTGAAAGTACTCTCTCTCTCTCTCTCAGGCGTAGATGTTTACTTATTTCAAGTTGTTTTACATTGTTGTGGACTGATACCTGTTGCCAAAGAAGATCAAGTCTCGTTCCAAGGTTTCTCTTCATATATAATTCTGCAGGGGTTTTTCCATTTTCATTTGACGGTGTAGCGCACACTAATGCATGCATGCGCGTCCAGAAGCAGCTAAGCGACCCCATAGGAACTGAACGTGATCTAAAATAAGGGGACGGACTAGTCTCTACACTCTTAAACGTATGCCCGCAGTATGTTATAAGAAAACCAACAACAATCATCCGCAGAAATCCTTCTTGTACTGGTGTGTGGCATTCAATGATAGCATCAACAATATCAACTTTCAAACGTTTTGAAATGTTTTTGAAAAAGTTTCTCGATATGGTAAGAGCTTACTAGGAAAGTATCGAGCATATTCAACATGCTCGTGGCCGAGTGAACACGTCTTTCTGTCCCGTCGACAACTTTCTTTGTTTCGCGCCTGTACACGTATGGATAAAATTTTAACTAACAATTTCTGTAGTTAATAATAGTGTGGAACATTGTTTTTTACAATTTTTCAAAAGTTAAAATATTAAAGTGTGAAGTGGGTAAATTGAAGAGATGGTTGTAACGAAGAAACAGCTCGCCGACTTCGAAGAAGTAATGATCGAACTTTTCAAGAAAGAATCATTTACTACCAACATCGCTAAAGCTATTACAATGATAGTAAGTGACCATTTTAATGAGTATCAACAGAAAATTCGGGATTTGGAAACTAAAGTAAAATCGCTCGAACATGAAATCCTCAAGGTCAACTCCAAAAATACCGATATGAAGGCGGAGATGCAAGAAAAACTTGACCGACAAGAGCAATACAGTCGGCGTAATAATATTCGGGTATTTGGTTTAACTGAATCGAAGACCGAAAACACTGAATCTGTTATAATTGATACAATAAAATATAAAATGGGACTTGAGATATTGCCAAATGAAATAGATCGTTGTCACAGTTGGGAAGCCCACTAACGGAAAAACTAATCGCGCAATAATCGTTAAATTTATAAACTACAAAACTAAACAAAGGATTTTTTCAAAAAAGAAGTCATTAAAAAATTCCGGCGTTACCATTGCTGAGGATCTGACCAGTTATCGAGCTTCGCAGCTAAGGAAACTAAGGGAAGAACTCGGAAAAAATGCGGTTTGGAGTCGAGATGGTTCAATCTATATTTTGGAATCGAATGGCGTAAGGAAGAGAATAATTTATTAACGCGTATGTTTATCTTTCTTCTTTTTTGTTTCGGGTTTCTTTTATACCATTATTTGTTTTTGCCTTGCTTAATTTAATTTAGTTTATTGTTATATGCATATTCTTTTATTTTATGTGTCTCTTTTTTTTTTTCTGTCTTTTCCGCTTCCGTTTATGTACAACTTATAACTCTCTATAATACAAAAAGGAGATAAAACTTTTTTTTTTTTCTTTTGAGTTGTTTTTGATTGTCGACGGATAGTAACCGTTTAGGAAAATTTTTAAATGTTTAAAATATCGCACCTGAATATTCGTTCTCTGGCGAATAAGGTGGATGACGTGCTGTCTTTGACGCGATTGAATAGTTTTGATATTTTTGGCTTAAGCGAAACCTGGTTGAGTTCAGCAGTTGAAGACTCGTTGATCGAAATACGCGGTTATAAGTTTGTTCGAAGGGATCGTGGCGCCAGGGGTGGGGGTGTGGCGTTCTATATTCGTGATAATATCAAACACAAAGTTTTGCCTACACAGTGTTTCACTTTTTTGGAGCAATTGTGGTTGCAGGTTCGAATTGATTCTGGTACTTTTATGGTAGGTATATGCTATCGACCTCCAAACACTGACACCCGGATGTTCCTATCGACTTTGAATGAAACTCTAGCGGATATGTTTTTATTGGGTGATGGTTTAATATTGGTGGGTGATTGTAATTTGAACTTACTAATAAATGACAGTAATGTTCTCGCGTTCAATGCAATTTTACATAGTTATGATATGATTCAAATAGTTGATAAACCGACAAGAATGGGTCATAATTCCACGCTCCTCGATATCATTGCTGTTTCTGAGTGCGTTTCGATCATGGATTCACAGGTGATTGATGTTCACGAACTTTCGGATCACTGCCTGACGTTTTGTGAATTAAACTTGAAGGCTGAGGTGCAACTTGGGAAGCCAGTGTCGTTTCGTTCTTATAGACTCTTCGACTATGAATTATTTTCTCGGGATTTAGCCAACATTGATTGGCATTTAATATTTCACATGGATAGTGTGGATGATATGGTCGATTTCCTAAGCTGTAATATCTCCAATCTTTTCGATATACATGCGCCAATTTGTACAATTATTCCTAGCCAGTCTAGTCCGTGGATTAGCAATAATGTAAAATTGATGATGTCGTTGCGTGACAAAGCTTTAAATAAATTTAAACGCACTAATCATGTAGCTCACTGGGACTATTATAAGCAATTGCGGAATTATACGACTAATGCAATTAAGTGTGAAAAAAGAGCTTACTTAACTGAGCAAATGAGAACTGGGAGCACTCAAAATTTGTGGAGGGAGCTGCGCAAGTTGAATATTTACAATAAAAAAAACCCTGCCTACCGACGAGTTTGAGAGATGTTGAAGCTTTGAATGGATACTTTTCTTCGATTTCGGGACGATCTGCGGAGGTCGACCCGGACGTGCACAACTTTTATGCTAATAATGTCAGACCTGGTGTGAAAAATTTCTTTTTCCAAAAAGTAAATGAATCTAAGATCAATATTATCTTGACGAAGATGTCGAGTCAAGTGGTGGGGATTGATGGTATAAGCCTTAGGATGTTGGGTTTCTGTTGTTCACACATAACTCCCTACCTCCTGCATGTAATTAACTTTTGTTTAGAGTTTGGTGTCTTTCCTGAGAAATGGAAAACAGCCAAAGTTGTTCCTATACCTAAGTCATCGACTGCTTCTTCCTTCTCGGATGTGAGGCCAATTAGTATCTTAAGTACTTTGTCGGGAATTTTGGAAAGGGTCGTGGCGGAACAAATACGTGAGCACTTGGAACGGTTTCATATTCTGCCCTCCATCCAATCAGGATTTAGGCCTGGGTATAGTTGTGCAACCGCACTTTCGACAATTATTGATGATGTTATGTCTGCAACGGACAATGGCGCGGCTACTGTTTTGGTTTTACTTGACTTCTCTAAAGCGTTTGACACTATTAATCATCAACTTCTCTTAGCAATTCTTCATTATATTGGGTTCAATAATACAGCCTTAAATTTTTTTAATAATTATCTGTGCGGGAGAAGTCAGTATGTGGTTATTGATAATGATGTGTCGGATCCTGCCGTATTGAGGTCTGGTGTGCCGCAGGGCTCTACGTTGGGTCCCCTTTTGTTCACTATCTATACGTCTCAAATGTTGATCTTTGACCGCTTTTGCTCAAAATTTCATATCTATGCGGATGACACACAACTTTACCACAGCTTTAGCTCAAATAATGTGCTAGAGTCTGTTGCAGATGTAAACAATGATCTAGATAAATTTTTAAATATTACTAAGAAACATGGTCTTTTGTTAAATGGGAATAAATCGGTCTATATGGTGTTCGGGGGTAGGGAATCCAAAGCGCTTGTCAGCAATATGGCCCATATCTTTATAGATGGAATTGAATTGGAGAGGAAGGTCTGTGTCAAGGATCTTGGTCTTTACATTGACGACAGCTTAAGGTTTACACGTAACACAAGTGAACTGATCAGGCGTGCTTACGCAAAATTGAAAATGCTGTTTGCTCATAGGCAAGTCTTGAACGCCGATATTAAAAAGAATCTTTGCGAATCTGTAATTTTATCCAACTTTACATACTGTGACACAATTTACGGCCACTGCCTGTTGACTGATGATGCGCGACGTATTCAGGTAGTTCAGAATTCTTGTATTCGTTTTATATTTGGTATATGCCAACGTCAGAGAGTATCGTATAAGCTGGGGGAGTGGCTGAGTATGTCAAGTTGTCGTCGGTTACATTTTGGTTGTTTTCTTTATAAAGTTGTGTCAACTAAACTACCACCTTATCTCACCAACAAAATTACTTACAGAACGGACATTCATAATATTAATGTACGGCGTAAGGACCTCATTGACATTCCTTGTCCCCGTACCCAATTGTTCAAGAGGTCTTTTAGTTATAACGCGGCATGTATTTTGAATAAATACAGTCTGCTTTTTGCTCAACCATCGTTTCGCACTTTTAAAGAGTCTGCGTCTTAAATTGCTTAATGACTAGCGCGTCGTTCTACCTTCAACTCGAATTAGTGTATATATATATATTTTTTCTTTTTAGTTTGTTAGGGACATTTATTAATTTTTATTTGTTTAGGCTCCTCATTTTTTATATTTTTTTCGTTTTTTACTTATCGGCCACGATAATTGTTTCAGGTTGAATTTAATTTTGATTTGTTATTACTTTATTTTGTTTTTTTTATATATTTCTTTTTTTTTGTGTATGGGATTTCCAGGAAGACCAGGACGCCATAATTTGGCTTACTGATGGAAATACCCTTTGGCAAACTCTATACTTAGTTATTTTAATGTATTACCTATATTGTATTGTTATGCCAATAAACTATTATTATTATTATTATTATTATTCACGAACGTCGTGAGATACAATTTGAAAAACTGTATCTTGGAAAGTCCGACGTTACTACTTTCTGTTTCGTTCAAAAGTCATTATTCTGCAACGTACCTAACATTTCTTGTGATATCAATTCAAAATCAGATTTAATAATTTCAATCAAATTAGGCGATTCCAGATTTTGTTCTACTCTGAGTATGTGAGAGAATCTAAAATGAAATTAATACAAACCTCATTGGGAAACCAACATCCTCTACTTTCGTCATTGATATATTTTAAATCTTCGTGGGATCCATAAATGGTGGGATATAGACCTATGTTCAGTACTTGTCCGTTATTCAAAGAATGGGAATAAAGCCCCATCTCTGCGAATTGATAGACACCACCTACTAGAATCTGAAAATAAAATTATACTGGCTTGTCAAGGTAAACGGTTGTTTTAAAGTTGTTGTTACAGTGCCCGTGGATATTACTAGGTCTGAAGGTATTACTTTGCACGACAGAAATTTATAGGTACCACTTTTAATAATTATAAAAGTGTACTAATATTTTATGTCCAAACTGTTTCTTTGAATATTCGTATTTTACGTTCTGTAGGTGACATCTTCAGATCTACTAACATTTTCATTTTATTATAATTTTTTAATATAATCAGTATTGATTACTTCTACTCCGGTCGCTGTTTTAACAGAAGAAACGTATTCAGATGGTTCAACATTAACAACAACTTGCAAACCAGAACCCAAGCCGAATCCGCCACTATACTGCAATTGCTTCTCGTAATTTTCATATTGAACATCAACGGTAGCAAAATAATTGAATGCGCAGCAATAACCTAAACTGGTTTTAATAGATTTAAATAATCTATCGCAGTTTTTCAGGTCCGATTTCCAATAACATTTTTTTATCATTCGGCCACATGGGTGAGCCAACTAAAAAAATAATATTAAAAATATGTTTATAAATAAGAAGAAATTATGAAACTGGTAGAGTATTATAGTTAGCTCATGATATAGGAAACTAACTAAACAAAATTTCAAGGCCGCTATTTAGGGATTATTTCATTATTTTATTTTAATTAGTTTTGTCCAAAATAAACTACGTTTCTATTCTAATAGCGGTATTCTATTGCTGATTTTATTGATTGAAAATTCGGGTTTGAAATAGTCCAGGCTAAGCTAACAATAATTTTCTATCCATGGTGGAGCTTTTATCCAATCCCGCTACAATATGGTAATTTTAATTGGAGTGAAGTTAGCAACGACTTTTCAGCGACGGATTTTGTCAATTCCACCACGGTCGCAAATCCGTCGCTAAGATTAAAACGCACAGTGAAACGGATTGAACATAGAAAATACGATCATGTTGTGTTAAATGAAAGTTACAAAGGTCACTACCTGCTGCTATCCCAGAATTCCAGAATAAATTTTGAAACTGCTAATAAAATAGGGTAAAAACGTCTCGGCTTTAAAAAGAAATAAAACCATCCCCTTAGCCGTGAGTTGCAGGGTTGAAATTTGGTGTGAATACAGTGTGTCCCCGGATTGTGTCCCCGTAAGGTATAATTGACGATAAATTTTTGAATTCAAATTCCATCTTTTGCAATTAAAGTCTGGATGTCATAAAACGAAATATAACCAAGTTTTATGTCAAATATCCTCAAAGTACCAAAGTTAACGCAAGAAGTTTGTTAACCGTTGCAGGTAAAGTGGTCTTTCTGAGCAATGTACAACAAAAATTGATTAAGATAAAATGTTTGTTATGTTAAATTATAGCGATATGCCGAATTTTATTAATTTAGCATATAAAAGAAAAAATGAGCTTTTTCTTGAAAACTTTTTTCTAATATTCCGTTTTACAATAAAAACAAATGATCTGAGCTTTACATCACAACATAAAATATTTATAGTGCAGTGCTATGGATTGGGGAACATTAGTTACAATGCAGTCTTAACGCAATTTGAGGAAAAATTTGGATTTTTAATAGATAAAAAAACAATGAAGAGAGTTGTTAAAAAATTTTCGGAAACGGGTTATGTGCAAAATAAAAGGAAGGAAAAAAGCTTTTAGATGACCATGATGCGGGGTCGATTGTTGCAGTAACGAACGCAATGGATTACGGTGAGGTGTCGTTAAGAAAAAGGGCAGTTCAACACTATTAACACACTATCGAATTAGGTGATGAAGCAAAACAAAAGTAGATTATTGTTTGTGGCTTGGGTACAAAATTTTGAAAGGCAGAACTTTTTTAAAAAACATAATATTTTCGGACGAAGCATGGTTCACCACTAATGGAGTGGTTACATCACCAAATTGTCGATTCTAGTCAAAGACTAATCCACATTATCGCATAGCTTGTAAACGCCAGTAAATACTAGAAAATTGCGGCATCATTGAGGAAGGTCCGAAGCTACTTGGGGAATACCCACATACTACCGTACATCTTTATGCGTACTTTATATTATTACTAGAAAATTGTTTATTTAATTATCTTCACGGTTACTTTCTGAATCTAGTACATTCAATATTAATATTGGTTACATAAGAAAATTTTTGAGAAAAATTAGTTTAAACTTTAATTACTTCAAATTTATATAAATGATAAAAGTAGCCATGAGTAACTATGGTAACCAATTATTTTAAACAATTCCCTGAGTGTCAAAAACTGATTCAGTAGCTGCTTGAGGTGTGGTGGTGCGCCATCTTGTTGGAATAACTGCCGTTGGAAATGAGTTGGGTCAAATTAGCGCGATGGAAGGAATGGCACAGTTTCTAAAAAATTTAAACATGTCTTTCCAGTTAAGGTATCCTCAAATCTTTTGCGGATATTGGGTGTGCGCATTTTAAAGTCTACAGTAAAGTAACTAAATTTAAAGTCTACTAGTATGTTTACTAGTAACTCTACTAGTATGGGATGTAATCACAAAGTCTCCTGATTTTTCAGCATATAATACGGTGGTGAGGGAAAAAAGTAGAGTTGCCATTTAAAAAAATAAATTTTTTGAGATACGGAAATTTGACGCACATTTCTGACCATCCTGTATAACTTTAATTAATAATTGTTGTTAAATTAAAGTGTATAATTGTTATTAAAAGACACCATTAGAAAAAGCAGAAAATTTTCAATAAGGTAGATATGGTTCTAGAGTTTTTTCCTGCTCATATAAGAAAGTTATCGACCCAAACAGGGTTTAAGAATGGCTAAAACGTGTGAATTTAGCAGTTTTTGGCCAAAAATGTACGTGTGCAAACGTGTGATCCCCGCGTGTTATACATCACTAGAAAGATCAGGAAATTTCCGATAAGATAGATATGTTTCTATAGTTTTCTCCCTATCAAATAAGAAAGTTGTTTAGAGGAAGAGTATTTAAGCGTTTCTGCGTGTAGGGATGGACATTAAGGGTGATTTAAGCATGACGCCGATAGATATTGACCGACGAAAACCCGGATTAAGATAGCTGAAGGAGCGCCCTTTCTGACTGTGATAACAGTTTTTTAAAATTCGGTTTCCTAACAATTGCACAAGGCCTTGAAGTTTGGTAATTTTGAGCTATTTTAAGTACAGCGCGGTGTTCTTCATTTTTTATTGATCTTAATATCAACTTATCGGCAGACGAAAACCCGGTTTTAGATAGAGAAAGATTCAAGCTTTCAAGTGGTGCATTTAGTTTTTCGCTATCCCTAATTATAAGGAAGATATCAGCTAAGAAAGTAGATAGGAAATTACGGGTAAAAGTTTGTTGCTGGGAGGTTTGTTGCTATCGTCGCACGGGTT